TGGCTTAGGGGATTAAGGTTTTCAGGTAAGTCCCCCTTCTCTCCCTATTCTTATTCTTTATTTCATAAGTCCTCGTGGTTGTGTGGCAGCGAAGCATTAGTTCAAATGGCTGATGTACTGCTGTTGATGATGATGGTGATGAACCAAATTCACTGCAGTTGACGGTGGTCACAGATGTATTACCATTGGATACGGGTGGATAGTACGAGTAGTCACTTGTCCCAAATCTGTTTAGGCTGCCAGCAATCAGTACTGATCTATCCCGCCCTGCTGTGAATTAGATTGGGAACAAAATTCCTCTTCCGTGTTCTTTCTCCATCCCTTTGTCCTTCACTGTGTTCTATTTAGGAGCTCACCAGTAAAAGATCGTCTGACTACTCCCATAAGAACGAGGCTTTTTTGAGTACGCGCTGTCTCTTCGGCCGGATGCAACTGCGGCGAACCTTTAAGATAACTCACAATCCCCTTGCATTTCGTTGAACGCTTGGCCATTCGACGTTCGTGCTCTTTGTCAACCTCAAGATCAGACTCTACTGGCCTTCTGCACTCTCAGGATTGACGCCGGTTGCGTCCGCGAGCAAGTACCAGATCGCAGCGGTGCAATGTATTTTCGACTAACCTGCCATCTTAAAGTTCTTTGTGAATAGTTTTCAAGAGCCCGTCTCTGGCTGCACCAGTCACTAACTAAGAGGTCAGACCATTTTTCAAACTCTGAATTCCATGAAGTCTTCCAACTCTTGCACATTGTGTCAGATCGGTCAGCAAGCAACAATCACCCTAGGAGTTGATGTGTGTCGTCTCCGAAATACTCGTACTAAACATGCGCTTACTATACTCCGGTCTCAGTGACGGAGGTTACACACTTCGCGTCTCTGATGATACAAGCTCACGGTCGAAACGTGCGCTGAAGGGATAACGTTCTTTGACATTAGAGTGACTGGTTTCCGCAGACGTACACAGAGTACAACCAACAACGGTCATCTCAACGCATTGTTAGGATGCAGTCATCTGGTCACAACTTTTAGGCTTGGAAGATATTTATGCGGAAGCTGATAACCCCAAATTTCCCAGTGATGCTCAGTGCGAACAAAGTAACCTTTCACAGTGCACCGGTGCTAAACACGCACGCGTCTGTAGGCAGGCCATTGCGGCCAACTACTGGTCACCGCGTAGTTCACACATTACTACCTAGCAACTGAAATTTAGTTTTACGGTTTTTTCATCGAATTCGGTCTCGCTCGGGTCATGTGAACACAAAAGTACTCATTTTTCTCACGCTTTGTGGTACGAGCGTAGTGTTGGACCAAGCATAATCGGAAGCCTTACTTTGCTATGACAACAACGCAGTTCGAAAGTGGAAGACTAGCAACCAACTCGCAGGTGCGCCTAGATAGTCTGTGGACTTCCCCTTTCGTTAACCATCAGGCTGCAATTCACATACTTGACATCGACTTAAGTGTGGCGATGGTCGGCCTTCGAAACTGGCAGCTCCCACAACTCTATACGAAATGTGATTTTTAGGAGGTTGATAATTCGCATATATGTCTCTTGCTTGCCAGAGGGGATTCACCGTTACCACACTGAACTACCTGCTTGAAACACTCCGTGAATCAGAGCTTTCTCACGTCCGTTTCTCGATGCATAAAATCTTCGGATTGTTCGTTGCCAACTAGTCCCGTCTATTGATGCTTTTCGGATTGGTCTAGTGGAGTTAAGTGTCTTACGCACTACGGAGTGAATGATAGGAGAGGCGGACACTTTGAGCGTTCTTCTTCAGACTTCATTTGCAAGAGGAGACTTAATTTTACCGCTACTGTGTAAATGAGCGAGTGATGGGGAGAGACTACGTGCACTCAGTTGGATTTATACTTACGTGATCACTTGAACTTTCAGGCCATCAGGTTGACACAGTCGAATATAATGTCTTGTGAAATCTTCGACACTTGATGTTGATACTTTGGTCCCACTTTTGTGTAAGGTGGAATGGGTAGCTGCTACTAGGATTGGGACAATTGGAAAGTTGGGTCCTGTTTACCACTTAAATAAGTCGTGATAGTCGCCATGTCAACCCGAGAACCGCGTTATACCTTGGTCTCTAGTCACTGTTTCCTCCTAAATCCACTATCGTACGGGAACATCGCGCGCCTAATGCAGACACTGGCAAGCCATTTCACCGCAGCGTCCATTGACGCAGTTACTATTTTTTGGTTGTAGGGAGATGAATGTGTGGGGTTCTACCTTTCAGAGTTGTATCTGAAGTACCCACCGTGTGATTGGATTGCGACACGCAATCTCTTTTGAGACCTCGGTCATTCCGTTGAGGTCCGAAAGACAATGAACACGTTTGGCTGGATACACTTGCTGACATGGCAAGGAGCCGACCCCAGTGGCGTTCCTGCTGTGAGTTTCTTTGTCCCTTCCCATCCCTTTTAGCCTTCCCCTCCACCTACGATCTCATTCCTTAGCGTAAACATAATAATTTTTTCTTTTTGCCTAGTGGCCGGCTGGTAGCCTACCGGCACGATGCCTATCCGTTGTTGGTAGCTCAGCTGGCATGTAACTTTTGTATTTATTTTCCATTTTCATTTATGTATTGCGGTACAGTAGCTGAGGTGTTTTTTCCACCTCTGGCTGACGTGTATAATGATGAATGATGATGGTCATTCCGATCACATAGACCGTATCCGAATTGAAGGTGTTTCGGTGTTGCTCCTCCCAGCACTGGTTCTAACTTTATGTATGCTCCTGATAGTAGTATTTAGTTTACAAACTTCAGTTTTTCATACTTCAAGGGTACCGTTGATTAAAAGGTAATGAGAAAAAGTGTGTAGCACTTAGATTTTAACATGGGGATAAACTTACATTTGAGTTTCCAAGAACTCCTTGCACATTGTGACTTTGGTCCTGATATGTGCCAGTCTCTTTTGTATCCGTAACTCACTGGATTCGTCCACTGTAGCTGAGTTGACCACTTTAAGCAGTACTTTATACGCTTCAGTTAAAGCACCGGTCGCCTTCTCGTAGTTTCCGAACTCCTCGATCTCCGTCTAATGAGGAAAAGACCTGATCAAACTATTTGCCCGAGCCATTTCATTGCATCTGCAATTCGTTATAACCGATCCGAACATTTTTTGCTGATCCTACTGATTCTGTGTGCGTCATTTTAAGGTAGTAGAAAGTTTGTGCTAGAACTTCCCTATTGTTGTGATGTCTACACCGGTTTGTGGATACGTGTAAGACGGTGAATTGTGGTTCTATAGATAGTGAACATGAGCATTTTACATCACATTTGAAAACACGTTCCGTCCGGTCCATTGTCACCAGCGAGGCAGCTGCAACTGAACTAAACCAGCGTAAATCAAAAGCCCAGTTATAAGAACGTACCACAATTGAGGCCTATGCATTGTGGCAGTCTGTCGAAGAATGGCATCCCCGGGAAGTTCGTTTCCCTACTGCGCACTATGCACGGTCTGACCTTGAGTAGAGTTAGGGCTTATGACAAACTTTCGCCTTCCTTTGTTGTCACCAGTGGGGTTCTGCAAGGATGCCCTATCTCTGCTTCTTAATTTTTCCATCGATGTCCGTAAAATGCTTTACAAGACTCGCTAAACGCTGGCGTTGAGCTCCTTCCAGATAGTCGAGTAGTTGACTTGGACTACGCTGATCATATCGTCTTGCTGGCTGGCGGTTCGCGGTCCGTCCAGCTTGCACCTAACCGCTTGGCGATTGAAGTGACGAAGTATGACATGCACTTTTCACCGTCCAAGTGCAGATCACTTTTCCATGACTGGCAGATCTCTATACCTCCTCTCACTCTCTGTGACGAGACACTGGAGGCTGTGGAGAGTTGCATCTACCTAGGAAATGACATCACTGGTGGTGGCACTGTTAGATATGGGATTTCGATGCGTATCTCAAAAGCTCATCTCGCCTTCTCCAAACTGAGGCACTTGTGGCGCCGCCATGACATTCGCTTTCCATCAAAGGGCGGGTCTATTGTGCGACTGTCCGCGCCGTGCTGGTGTACGGTTGCGAGACGTGGCCTGTTCGAACCGCTGAATTGCGCAGTCTCTCTGTCTTTGCGCACCTTTGCTTGCGGTGCATTGCCCGTGTGTGGTGGCTGGATCACGTAAGCGATGCGGAAGTTAGTGCGTCTTGGGGGTAACAGCCACTCGCTCGAGGAGATTGTCTCGCTGCGCCAGTTGCAGTGGCTTGATCGCGTATCGCGCATGTCTGCTCAGCGCCTTCCGCGTCGTGTGTTGTTCGCGGTTGCTGGGCAGAGCTGGAGGAGGCGGCGCAATGGACAGTTTACGACTTAGAGAAGCGGTATGAAAAAGCTGACCAAACAGTTGGCCTCAATCGGTTGATCTTGGCTCCCTGTTTTGGGTCCCAGAAACATGGAGTGTCGCTGGTTAGAGACCCTAGGATTCATGGCTCAAGATCGACATCAGTGGCAGACGTGTATCTGCGTGTTGGGCGGATTCCCTTTCTCTCCCTTAATAAAACCAATTGACAAAAAAACTTTAAACTGAGTGGAAAATTGGACAAAATATTGCCTATTATTTTCTTTTCTTATTCCCATCCTGTTTTCATATTCCGCCATGATTTCGATGACACAATGTCAGTGCTACAGACCGTGACTAAATATTTTAAAAATACTTGTATATGCTCATTTGACGATCCTACATTCAGTGGATTTACTTCTTGTAGTCTTGTCGTTCATAAAGTGCGCAGTAAACGGGAAAACCTTGTGCAAACGTGTTTCACTAGAAAACGCTCACCTGTGCACATGATTCGTAAAACGACGCCAGTGATTCTAGGGCCCGTCCACGTGTGTAGAATTGAACAATTGTGCGCATAGTGTCCACATTTGTTTTCCATTCTTCCAGAGTTTGTAGATAGTTTGCGGCCATCACGTAGATCTCTCTCTGCTTGCTGACATTGGTAAAGAAAATGATCTTCTCAGTGTCTCCTGACCGAAGTAGCGCTTTCATCGCCGCTATTCGACTTCCCGCTTGAGTGAATTTCTTGCATGCCATGTGATATTGCCCTTGGCCCAGACACAGTTCCCCCAATTCGACCAAGATACTAACTCTCTCGGCTTCAGGAATTGTACTTGTGGCCGGTGGGGTCAACCTCTCTGCTAGCTCGTCTGCAATTGGCACATTGTATTCGGCGCACGTTTTCAACGCTTCCCAGTACTGATTGAATGAAACGCAGAGATTGACTTCATTGTTACATGTTTCTTTATTATACAAGAGTTTACTCCGATTCTCTCACTATTTGACGACCTCGGGAGTTGTCATTTCTCTAACCGTAAACTAATGCGCAATATCGCATCTAAAAGGGTGTGCTTTCTAGTGTTGGATGAGTTCTTACTTTCTTGTGGCCTGCGCGGCTGATTGACTGTGATAGGATGGGCGCTACAAAGGAAGTTGTAGTGATACTTGGACCGAATTCCCTCAATATCTGGCGAAGCATCTTTACTCGCCACATGCAGTTTTGGATATTGGTTATCTCTATTCAGGAAACTACACCCTCTATAAATCGAGCTTCCAGGATAAAGAGACTGGTGCATTTGCCTGCGATGGTTATCGATGACATCCCGGGCGTTTTTGTTTGATGTTCCTAGTGGGCCTTGTTGCGTCTTCTTTCTCGTTGATACTATCGGCATGATAGGCAGTTTTTTAAGCAGTGCACAGAAGATTGTGCGTGGTTTATTAGTCCATTTAGAACTGCTAAAGTGGACAGGCTCCCTGTCGGCCATCTTGATGAGCTAATCCTGGATGTTTCTGTCTTTTATGTTTTCGTCATCCACTGACTGCGAACGAATTTACCTTGTTCTGCCCTGAAGCTGTTACTCCCTGTGAACTTTTATCTAAGCCATTTTCCCTACTAATTTTGCTTTCTAGCTACACTTCCAGTGCAGCGACCCATCCTGCAACTGTGTGGGCGCGCGTTTCCCGCTCTGATAACTCACTGGTCCATCAACATCCATGGACTGGTGGATTAGAAGCCTGCGGCCTCACGCATGAAGCAGGATGCTATATTGCGCTGTATAAACCTTCACCCATACCGCAACTATCGGCGGAATCTTTAGGATCCTTCCCTAACTCACTTGTACGAAACGGCGCAGCGCTCATTATCTTGGGGATTGTCGTTCATCCTCGTTGGTATATTGATACGCCGACGATTTATACTCAGGCTATTGTATACTGGAATATATGCGATCGGCGATGCTCCCAATGTTACCCATGTTATCATGACAGATGTATTGATATCTCTTTCTCAGTGAGTTATCGAGTATCTGGGCTCACTATACACGATGGGTTAACGTCCTACGTTCATTTGTAACGGTACTAGTCACCACAGACTAACCATCGTTCTGGTTCACGTTTCGAGCATCTTGATCGGTAACGCACTGGGCGTCAACCTGTTTTGGAGGTAGCTTAGCGATGCACTGTTACAGCGCATGGGTGAACAGAATGTTCCATGCTATGGTTATTTCGAGTTAAGCTTGTTCTGTAACCAAGCCAGGACCCTCTATTGACGTTGTGCTTATATGAACACAAGGTAGTGCATCGCTAATCTGATCCACCAAGCGAGGCTTGTGTCAGTTGCTAAAGTTACATTTCAGCGTGCAGCGCTGGCCGATTCAATGTCTACTTACACCTCTGTTTAATGAGGCAGTCCACTCAATTACCACATTTGTGTATCACCAAGCGACCATTTATCTGTGGCATTTTTCGATTAAAGCATAGGATGACTCACTTGCTTCCCGGCAGCCAGTACATCCACCGCTCGATCGAATTGATTGTTCTGAACAAAGAATTCGGCACACTTCTTCAACAAAGCAGGATCGATTCTATCGTCCAAGGAGCCCGCAACGCTCTGCAAGGCTGCAAACTGGTGTGTTTGAAATGCCAGCTCTACTGCTCGCCCAATGTAACCGGCTTTGTTGAACAGGAGGATCGCTTTGTTCGTATAATCTGGCACGGATTCCAAGTGCACAGCCGCTTCGAGCATATCTTCCGGTTTCCCCAGTTGTGCCAAACTGTACAAGTGGTCGTTTCGATTATGCTCCTAAATCACAATAAATAAGAAAAACCTGGTGCATCTTGTTTCGTGTGATGTCTCCAGCACCTGTCGATAGAGATTTACCAGTGGTGGCCTGTAGTATATATTACCGAGCCATTTGCTGTTCTTCACTCCACTTTCAGTGACACATCTAGCATCTAGGAGTGAAGATGGAGTACACATGTTGTTTTTAATACCAATTTTCCTGGTCAAAGTACGACCCGTACATAGCATTACTAAAAATGGAAACATTCACATATATAGGCACACACACAGCCTGTTGGGTGTGAGCGGTACGCAGCGTCGTTTGAATAAGAAGAACCGGGATCATTTTTCATCACCTGTAAAGGAGTTTGCACTTGATGAGCTGACATCGCAGATAATGCTCTCAGAGTCTTCTGTCCATTGGTTCACCCGGTTAAAACAGCATAGCAGAATGGTCTGAGTGTCGTAAAACTGCTTTCCGTCATTTATCGCTCCTTTGTCCCTCAGTTAGTGATTTGTCATCCCTGCCTCGATTACAACCTATTTGAAGCCAAGGCCTTTGGGGAGTTTTGCTCGTGTCCAAGCTTCACACACTGTCTGACACTGGGCAATATATAGCTCTACCCGGATGCTAAAATCATTTGTGACAATACTATGAATAGTTTGGAGGATGTTTGCTCACCGGATACTTCTCAGTCTCCAGACAAAGCGCATGAAAAAGGCGTATTTGTCGAATCAGTCGAGAATATCTGTGCCCGAGTACACAATTTTGACCATTCGCGATTCTGGAAGCTGTGCTTTGACTTACTTTACAAAGACGGACAGCGCTTGAAATAGCCTTAGCGCGGGTAAACAGGCGGATCGCTTGATCAATGTCCCCATTGTTCTCTAGCTGACGAGCCAGATGGTAACAGGCAGCCGGATCACCAGTCTCGTTGCACAACTCTTCGGCGCGCTCGTTTTGGCCCATGCAGCAGAGAACTCGAACCAACGATAAATAATCCGTAGCTTGCAGATAATAGTCTCGTGCCTCGTCCAAGCGCCCTTCTGCCTCGAGTGTCTGCGCCCACCAGCGTTGAATGGACCTGATCGGATGCAACAGAACAAGAGATTAGATGAATCACATACTCCAGGGATTGTTGCACATTTCTCGTTGTTCATCAGTACATCGCTGTGGATGAAGGTAATCAGAAATTGGATTGTTAATGTGCGTTGCGTTGTATCCCACTATCCAATTTCGGGAAGGGCTATATGGTCACATTTTTCGGTGTGTTCTGAAGTCCTATCTAATGGGAATGTTTACTTTTGGCATGTTGCCAAGCCATCACTTTGGATGCGACAGACAGGCTAATGCTCAATAGTAGACAGCATACTCGATTTCGTCGGCAAAGTGATTTGGCGCCTTTAATCAGAGTACTACTTCTGAGGCTACAGTCTGTGGTGGGACATTGGCCAAAGTGGAACAGACATTGTTCATCCGATGTGTCAAAAAATGTAGGCAACTATAGCTGTACTAGCGTTATACCTCTTCGAGAGTGCAGCGAACTAGACAGTGCACTTTACGCTGTTAAGTTGATATCTAATCCAATAACGAGCAGAACTTACCTATCAGCGTGTGTGTTCACAAATGCTTCCAAATCGTTTGGGGAGTATTTCAGCATCCGGGGCACTTCAAATCGATGAGTTTCAGACTTCATGTAACTGATAAATAAAGTCAAGCAAAGGAGACTCAGAGTTGATTTTTGGATGTTGGTAAATTTTAGTTGTTACTCGTTCCTAGCACCTAGGTTCATTTGAAAGCAAGTCTTACACCATCGCGAGATCGCATGCAGGATGCCAACCAGCTGACGGGTATTCTAAAAACAACATTGACATCAATGTACTTATAACTAAATAAATAAATATTTTATTCTCGACAAAGCGAGGCACGCCTTTTGGGCATGATCAGCATATTTGCAGTGTTGTACATGATAGCATGATTAGAAGCACCGAGAGCGGGAGTAGTACACATGGAGTCAGTAGTGTGGGCCCATACGGCCCAAAGGTTGTACGAAATCTATGTCCACAGAATGCGAGATAAGAAATCAGATCACAAATGTGTATGTTGATGAGGAACTAGTCCGATGAGGTTGTGTACACAGTGCGGGTCAAGTAAGTGAAGCATGAGGAAAGAGCTGCAGGAATACTTAAGGATAGTGGCATGTAACTGATCAAATATGTAGGCGTGTTCGTACGGGAGCAGATTTATGCACAGAATTTGTAAATGTGGTACCGGTCAACTTGCCAACGTGAGATTGGGGCGATGACTTTATTGAGTGGCGAGTCACATCCGCCACGTCGCAGTGTTGTTAAACAGATATTTGTTTTGTCACCAGCGGATCTGTCCTGCGGTCGTTCTTAAGACTTGATTTGCAGTAGTAAGATGCGAGATCATATTATGTCAATCATCCGGTGCCAAATTTGCCAAAAATGCATGGTGTGCAATGGCCAAGAGGATCCTTCGTATTGCAGGGGCTTGTGTTGTTTTATAAGGCTTCACACGTTTATTTATGGTCAGTTGGTTTTCCAGTCCCTGTTTATCAACTGGATCCTGAGCGCCCCCACTGATACCTCTAAACTCAGCGCTTGAAACCACGAATACTTCAGAGAAGAAGAGATCGTACGGTGTTTCATCCCCGGATGTCACCCGATTAAGTTGCGATAAAGCCTGCGGATTTAGTAGCACAACATCCTTTTATCTTGGCGTATGCGAAAAGTTTATACACCAAAGCAACACTATCCACCTTCGTAGCGTAACGTCTACATGCTGTTAGGGACGACACTAGGTTTGTCATCCACAGCACTTACTGGCAAGCCTATGCATCTAATGTTGGCCGAGGGCGGACGTTGTCTAAATAGTCCTCATGATCTTCAGCAGATCACACTCATTTTCATACGCACTTCGATATCAAAGCGCTCACTACATCTGTCAGTTGCTTGCGGTAGACCCAATTACGGCGGCTTTTTAACTATGCTTTCGGCAATTGGCGCGCAACACAGCAGGTGTTGTGTTCTCAATGCGTTTGACGAGATAAACAAGCGTCGTCGAACATCTCTTTTGGGGTTCGTACTATGCGTGCGCGTCTACGCATGAGTTTGACGTCATTTGATCATCTTAGAAATAGAATCATAGTGCTAGTCACCCATGCCATTCATTGAGTACTCCACGTATCCGGGTCCCATGCTTGGTTAAACTGAGGCGTATACATTTGGCTGCAGGAACGCCCTCCACTCTTTGACCACCGGTCGTAAAGCTCCTCGATCAAGCCTTAACAGCCAGGTCCTTCTTCTACAGCTGCTGATTGTTTCTTGGCTGTTTGACAAGTGAATCTCCTTAAAATCACAACAAATTCCCACTTCTACTCTCTGATAATCAGTAATCGCCTTGGAGTACCTCAGTACTGCTGCCATTTCACAAGAAACGTGATAGAACTGTGTGCAGTAATTATCACGGGATTGGCCTAATCGATGTGGCTGCCGAAACTGCACGAATCTTGCTTTCCCGCTTTGCCAAGGAGAGGAACCTGCGAACTCGCCATAACCAAGGTGGCTTTCGTCCAGGCAGAGGCTGCGCTGACCAAATCTTCACTCTACGTCAGGTACTCGAACACTGCTACCAGTTCCAGCAGCTCAGGTTGCTATACTTCTTTGATTTTTCGAGCTGCCTTTGACTCAGTTGACCGTGAAGCACTCTGGAGAATCCTACTTACCGATGGCATGCCGGTTAAACTCGTTAACTTGATATGATCATGCTACCATTAAACGAAGGCCCAGATTCGGGTCTATGGAGGAGAAACAAAGGAATTCGACATCAATACTGGCGTCCGGCAGAGTTGCCCTTTCTTTAGTGCTACTCAACGTCGCAGTCGACTGGGTTATGCATCATGCCCTTGAGAGCTGTCGTGGTATTCAAGTTAGCCCTGACTTCTGGCTATCATACCTAGGATTTACTGACCATATCCCTTTCTTTACAAAAGATCCTATATCATTACAGTCACTGTTAAATCGGGTCGACCGACCAGCTTTTATGAACGGCCTCGAAATTAAAATCATCGTCAGCCACCCAGTCCGCCACGTCGTTCTCCATACATGGACAACTCAACGAGTCTTTTCCTGAATACAAGTACCTTAAATACACTATTCCTTCCAATGGTCAGGCTACATCCTATTCGTATTGACAGCGCCAGAACAGCCTTCCTACAACTGAGAAACACATTGTGGCGAAGGACGGAAATTTATCTGAGAACGAAAACCGGAATATTCTCAGCATTCATTCGTGCCATTTTACTCTATGTTTGCGATACATGGCCGCTGCTATCCGAAAGAAATCTGGAAACTGAAAATCCTCGACCATTGGTGTCTGAGGCTTATCTTGAAAACGCAGTGGCATAAGCGTATCACCATTGACGAAGTTCGTAAACGCTGTTACGGTCTTCCGAAGCTCTCAGCGCTCATCCAACGCCGCAGACTTCAGTGGTTCGGTCACGTCATCCGCAGACCAGACACTGACTTCACTAGAGCCGTAGTTTCATCCTCGCCTTGCCAGGTGTGGTGTTATCACAACTGGACTCTAACCGCAAGTACGTATTTCAACTCGTAGCGAATAAGTAAGAAGACGCTTCAGTCTGGCGCACAGTGTACTGAACACTTAACGGTTTACATGTAAGCACGGAATGTTAGGGTGTGTCCTTGAGTGCGTGTGTGCGTGCTTATCTACGTGTGTGTGTAGGGCCAATCAGATTCAGGGTCATAGTGAGCGATCATTGGTTGAACACGTAACAGTCCTCCCTGTTTTGGCTGACGTTACAGTCATGGCTGAAAACGTTCGATCGGTTTGCGAATCCGGGTCGATCGGCGTAATTGAGTTTCCCCTGTTGTTCTGTGTTCGTCGTGCTCTGCAGCTTGCTCTGCGATCTCCGAGTGTGACTGACTCACGGCAGGTGTGTCAGTGCTCCTGGGGCGTACATGATCTGAGTGCCGGCGAACAACCCGGCCGTCCGGAAGCTGCAAATCGTTTTGACTTCCTGAAGAATCGAGCACAGTCGCCGGCTGCCAACATTGTTCATGCGGTAACCTGGTGTAAACAGGTTGATGGTCCTGAAATGTAACTTCCGGCTTTGATTCCTCTGAAGACACAAACTTTTTCTGACGCTCCTGTACTTCAACACGCGGGTTCAGGAACAACAAATGAAGCCTCGTTCTCAGATTTCTGCCGAACATCAATTCCGCCGGGGATTTCCCGGTAGCCTCAGTGGGTGTAGAACGGTAGGAGAATAGGAACCGATCCAGTTTTGTTCGCAATGTTCCCGTTCGCTGCTTTAGTAAGCCTTGTTTCACAGTTTGTACTGCACGCTCCGCTAATCCGTTTGATGCTGGGTGATACGGGGCTGACTTAACGTGTTGGATTCCGTTGTTGGCGACAAATTTACCAAATTCGGCACTGGTAAAAGGCGAACCATTGTCTGTACAAATGGTTTCCGGAATGCCAAACGTAGCGAAGGACGAGCGCATTTTAGTGATGGTGGATTCGGCTGTCGCCTGAGTAACTGGATGTACGTCAATCCACTTAGAATGTGCATCAATAAGTAGAAGAAACATGGTCCCGTCGATCGGTCCGAAGTAGTCGGCGTGGATACGCTGCCAGGGCTTGTCGGGCCAACGCCAAGGGTGTATTGGACCTGGCGCCTTGCTCCGCTGATACGCCTGACAAATATCGCAATTCTTCAGTAAGTTCTCTATGTCTGAGTCGATGTTGGGCCACCAGCAGTACCCTCTCGCTAGTGCCTTCATCCTCGCCACACCTGGATGAGCATCATGGAGCTCTTTAAGTATCTGTGAACGTGCCTTGGTGGGAGGGACTAGACGAGAGCCCCAAAAAAACACAGCCGTCGAATAGACTCAGTTCGTTCTTCCGAATCATAAACGGTTGTAATTCAACTGTCCCTTCAGGAGGCCAACCCATGTTCAAAAAGCGTTTCACCATTGATAGCACGGGGTCTCGATCCGTCCATTGACGGATTGTTGAACTCCGTATCGGTGTTGTGTCTAGATGTTGCATTAGATTAACCAGTTCAAACGGAGGGTCGTGTTCATGTGCAGTTTCCGTGATCGGCAGACGGCTGAGTGCATCAGCTGTGCAGTTGCTGACGCCGGTAATATAAACAATCTTGTAACTGTAAGCACTCAAGGTTATAGCCCATCTTTGCATCCTCGGTGATGCCATTTGTTGTATACCTTTGGTTTCCCCAAACAAGGATATCAATGGTTTGTGGTCTGTATGAAGCTCGAAAACGTTTCCCCATAAATACTGGTGAAACCTCTTAACTCCGAAGATAACGGCTAGCGCTTCCCTGTCCAGTTGTGAGTAGTTCTTCTCCGCCGTCTGTAAGGTGCGCGATGCATATGCTGTGGGACGTAAGAAACCATCGTCCATGCGGTGGCACAGGACAGCCCCGACCCCCCAAGGGGACGCGTCGCACTGAAGTATGAGTGGCTTGTTAGAGTCATAATGGACTAACGTTGGTGGCGAAGCAAGAGCTTGTTTTGCTTTATTGAAGGCATTTTTTGACGGGAACCCCAACACCACGATGCAATTTTGTGTAACAGCTCATTTAATGGCGATAGAACCGTCGATGCATTAGGCAGGAAACGGCGATAGTGAG